CAGCATCAGCATCGTAAGAAATCACCTGAAGTATCATCATCCTCATCGTCATCATCATCATCATCATCATCATCGGTATCATCAGCAGCACCATCATCATTATCAGCATCAACAACATGTCCAGCATCATCGTCATCATAAACATCACCAGTAGCATCAGCATCAGCATCATCATAATAATCATCATCTATATCAGCAACATCATAATCAGCAGCAGCTTCATCATCAGCAGCCTCATCACCACAATCATCAACAACATCAACACCATCATCAGCATCCGCATCATCGTCATCATCAGCATCAACAGCAACATCGTTATCATCCGCAGCTGGCGCTTCATCATGACTATAAGCATCATAATCAACATCCGCATCACCACCGCCATCGTCACCAGCATCAACATCATCGCCATCAACAGAAGCGTCATCAGCAGCAGCATCAGCACCAGCATCAGCAGCAGCAGTACCCTCATCATCATCATCATCATCATCATCATCATCATCACCATCATCATCATCAGCAGCATCATCATCATCCTCGTCAGCATCGTTATCATCAGCTTCAGCAGCATCAGCAGCCCAAGCATCATCAACACCATGTTCAGCAGCATCAGCATCGCCATTATCATCATCATCAGCATCATCAGCAGCATCAGAATCGTAATCATCAGCGTCATCAACAGCAGCATCAAAATCAGCATCGTCAGCATCATCATCATCACGATCATCGTCATCATCGTCACCAAGAGCAGCGCCATCATCACCAACATGCTCATCATCATCGTCATCACCAACATCCTCATCGTCGTCATCATCATGGGCATCATTAGCATCAGCATCATCATCATCATCATCATCATCATCATCATCATCATCATCATCATCGTGCACAGCATCATCATTAACATAATCGTCGTTATCAGCATCAGCATCCTTAATCATCAGCATCGCCATCATCACCACCAGCATCATCATCATCATCAGCATCGTCATCATCATCATCATCATCATCATCATCATCATCATCATTGTCATCGTTATCATAACAAACATGATCAGCATCATCATCATGATCATCATCATCGACATCATCAGCATCATCATCAGCATCACCATCATCATCGGCATCAGCATCATCAGCGTCAGCATCATCGTCAGCATCAGCAGCAGCATCATCATCATCATCGTCAGATTCATCATCATAATCATCATCATCATCATCATTATCAGCAGCAGCAGCATCGCAGCCTCATCATCATCATCATCATCATCATCATCATCATCAGCTTCATCATCAGCCTCATCCGCAGCAGCAGCAGCAGCAACATGAATGTAAGCATCATCATCAACAACACCACCACCATCGTCATCAGCATCATCATCATCAGCAGCAGCATCATCAGTTATCATCATCAGCAGCAGCACCCTCATCATCAGCATCGCCATCATCATCAACATGATCGTTATTATCCTCATCAGCATCATCGTCATCATGATCGTCATCATCATCATCTTCAGCAGCATCAGCGTCAGCATCGTCATCATCATCATCATCAGCAGCAGCAGCATCATCGTCATCATCATCAGCATCAGCATCGTCATCATCATCGTCATCATCAGCAGCATCAGCATCAGCATCGTCATCATCATCACGATCATCGTCATCATCACCACCAACATCAGCATCATCATCACCAATATCCTCACCAACATCATCATCATCAGCAGCATCCTCACCAACATCCTCATCATCAGCAGCATCATCGCCAACATCCTCATCATCATCATCATCAGCATCATCATCTTCCCCCTCCTCCTCTCCCTCCTCCCCCTCCTGCTCCTGCACCCTCCTCCTCTAGGGTCCATCCTCCCGACCCAGGCCAACCGCCCACCCCCCGTTTGGCCTTGATGACCCTGCCCTCGTCGAGAGCCGCAGACCTGACTCGGGACTCGGGGAAGGCGGAGGAGAAGCAAAAAGGAGCGGGGAGACCCACGGCGAGGAGGAGAGCGGCCCGAGCCGAGGCGAGAGCGCCGTTCGGAACGCAGGCCGCCGAGCGCCCATCCGAGAACGAGGGCCCACGCCGCAGCGAGCATGCCGTGTCGGAAGGACCGACGGCGTGCGGATGGAAAAGCGCATCGCGGAAAACAGCTCGTGCCAGTCCTGCTCAAGAGACCACGGCAGCACGCGGAAAGGGTGGGGGCGCGCCCCGCTCTCGGGGCGGCCTCGGGAGAGCGAGGAGAGCGCGTGCTCGAGCAACCGCTGATGAGCGGCAGGGGCAGAAACAGCGGGGAACGGTGAGGAGGAGCCGGGAACCAGGAGGAACCAGAAGGAGCGAGGAGCGAGGAGCCAGGAGAAAGGAGGAACCAGAGAGGAGGAGCCAGGAGCAAGGAGGAACCAGAGGGAGCGAGGAGCGAGGAACGAGGGAGAGATATGAGGGGAGACGACAGGGGGGCCGGCTCCGCGGGGGAAACGTCGACCTGCAATCGGCGATACATCGCCGATGGCGGGCTATCGGGCCCTTATCGGCGATGCTTGGGCGATTGGGGGTTGATGCATCCCACCGGAGACTGTCGCCCCTGACGTTGCCCCTGAAGAGGGCGGGGAGGCGCGGCTGACATGTTCTCCTCGACGTGCCAGAACGCCAGCGCCTGGTCTGCGGGAACCTGGGGTGCGGAGGCCGTGGGAAGGCGGGGAGGGCGAGGAGGAGGAGGAGGAAAAGGAGGAGGAGGGAGGAGGGAGGGAGAGGAGGTGGTGGAGGAGGAAGAAGAAGAGCGGGGGGGGGCAAGAGGGTGAGGCGGAGTGGGAGCAGGAGCGAAACGATGGGGAGGATGCAGCAAGAGGATGAGAGGAAGAGCACAAAATGAGGACGAGCAGGCGGAAGAGCAAAACGAGAGAATATGATGAGGAAGAGGAGGCGAAAGACGAGAACCCCCAACCCTGGTCACGGGACAGGACCGGCAGAGCAGGCGAGAAGCCCAGTCGGGCGAAGCCGAGCGCAGGTGCAAGACGGAAAGAAAGAGGAGAAGGGAGAAGGGAGGAGGTGAGGAGCGGTGGGGAAAACGAGGAGGAGGAAAAGAAAGAACATGACGGGGAGGAGGAAGGGGAGGACGAGGATGAGAACAAGGACGACGAAGCGAAGGAAGAGGCAGAAGCATGTGGGAGAAAGGAGGCCCGGGGGGGAAGGAGGGGAGGAGGCAGAGGAAGGAGGCGGCCGCGCGGATTCATGGAGGTCTCAAGGCGCGCCACGGGCACACGTCCCAGCGCGCACGCGTGGCGCTTGAGGCCGCGGCCAAAGGCCGACTGACGACACACGCGGAGGCTAAGCCTCAAGACACTAGGCTAGAAGCCGAGGCATGGCGGGCCCCTGCGGACAGCGACGGAGGGGTGCGCGTGGCTGATCGCAGTCGACTGGCGGAGGCCAAGGGGGATCCGCCACACGAAAATGACCCGGACCACTGAGAGAGAGAAAGAGACAGACAGACAGACAGACAGACAGACAGACAGACAGACAGACAGACAGACGGACGGACGGACGGACGGACGGACAGACAGACAGACGGACGCACAGACAGACCGCCCGCTGAGCGGCGCGAGTGGACGGCGAGGCGGCAGGGAGGATCGGATCGGATCGGCTAGGCCAACGGGCTCGTCTGGAACCACAGCGCCGTGGGGGATCCTCGTGGAGTCAAAAGGACGGAGGGAGACGGGAAGAAAAAAGAGGAGGTACGAGCAGGGAGAAGGGAGGACGGAGGAGGAGGGAAAAGGGAGGAGGCAGGAGAGGAGAGAGAAGAAGAGAAGGAGTAGGGAGAGGAGGGCGACGACGAAGACGACGACGAGCGATTTCGCTCGCTCGCTCGCTCGGCATCGATGGTCGGGCCTGGCTTGCATGCTCTCTGAAACTGCTGGCGCATCGCCCCCATGGCCTGATGAAGAATACAAGGGACGGGGAGGAGGAAGAAGGAGGGGAGAGGACGGGGAAGACTGGTGAAACGTAGTGAGCCCCTCTTCCTCCTCTCCATCCTCCATTCTGCCCGTCCTCCCCCATTCCTCCATATTTTCCTCTTCCATCGTCTCCGTCCTCCTTCCCATTTTGCCCCTTCTGTTCATTGTCACCCCTCCCTACCATCATCATCATCATCATCATCATCATCATCATCATCATCATCATCATCATCATCATCATCATCATCATCACCATCATCATCAGCATCAGCATCAGCATCAGCATCAGCATCAGCATCATCATCACCATCACCATTATCATCCTGGACGAGGGGGAAGGGGGGAATCATTTCCTCGGAGACGGCAGGTCGTTTTCTATGACCCCTGCGCGCCGAAGAGCAGAAACGGAGATCCGGAACGCTCCTATTCCTCCTCCTCCTCCTCCTCCTCCTTCTTCTCCTCAGCCTCACTCCTCACCCTGGGCCGCCTGACTCCTCGCTGCGTTCGCGCTTCTTATCCTCCTCCCCCCACTTCTCCTCCTCTTCGCTCCTCCGTCCGACGAAGCCGCCGCGGGGAGGGTGCACCGCGCCCGCCTTGTCCTCGCTCCCCGTCCTGGGACCCGCCGTGACGCGGAGGTGGAAAATGACCTGGCGCCACAAGCTCAGCAAACATCCTCTGGGCCGCAGCTGGTAAAGCTTCGGGCTGCGCACAACCAATCCCCACGGGTAGTCCCGACTGGCTTCAACAGGCCCCCTGGAAGCGGCGCCAGGGTGTTATAAGACCGCCTCGGGCTACTCGGAGGGGTCTCTGGAAGCCGGCCAGACTACTCGGGGGGCCCCTTGGGGCCAGCCACATCGGGGGGGCTGTCTGTGGACAACCCGAAGCTTTGTCAACCGAAGCACCGCCCTCTCACGCCTGTCATGACTCTACACCCTGCGAAATGCTTAAGAAATCATGGGTTAAGAAATTCATAGTCTCATAATCTGATTACAAACCCAGAACTCCTATCAAAATCTCGGGATTTACATTGAAAAGTTAAGAATAATCGAGACTCTGGA